GGTGTCATACAAGTTGTTTCATACTCCCAAACCTAACATACTGCAGTAATAGATAAAAATGGTGGTAACTAGAACCTTCCTGTGTCTCTGCAGGATGGGGAAAGGCAATTACAGAGACACATGTAAGTGCTGTATGAGATTGGACTAATTTCAAGCTTAGGGCTAGAGCAACAGCATATACCAAGTACATTCTCAATGCTCGATACTCCCAAATTGGGTTTATTGTTTTTCATCTGGATTGACTTGTTGACTATCTGTATGTGAATAGACGAAAAATCCCTGTTTGATAGTTTTGAGAAGAAATAGATCAATAACTGGTTATCACCAGGACAAACAAATACTCCAGCAATATGGTTGTACACCCGGGCTTAGCCTCGCAGCAAGCAGTACAAATGGCTAGTTATTGGATGATAAATAATTTCCAGATCTGAATAAACATATGGCATGGTAGACCATGGGGAAGGGGTCCATGAGACAAGCCGAGGAAACGCAGCAAGTGTAAAAGGAACTGCAATGGCTTCCAGATGAGGAAGACTCTCAACTGATTGAAAACAAATTTGCCGAAGGTGTTGATGTACCATCCTTTGCCGTTGGAGATGTGCACCAAATTTGAAACACATTATAACCCTGCTGAGATCTTGTCACTCATGTGTTCATCTGCCCCCCTCTTTTTCACGCCTGCTGTCTTCCATTTTGACGTCTGCTCTCATCCATTTTGCTTCATCAAACTTCTGATTGCTCTTCGCTGAACATAATTTCAAAGACAGAACGAGACAGGGAGTAGTTAAATGATTGTAAGCGCTGCCAAGGTGGGGTGCTTCCACACAAAGGTCGAATTGTCAGTAATATGTCTTGTAATCACTTGTGGAACTATTCCTCTGTGTTGGGGATTAGCACATTGTAAAAAAACTCCTAAAAATACCAGATGTATTTAGTTGCATGAACTGACGGCAATGGGCATTATCTCGTGGTGGTCTTGTGTTCAAAACTTGCAGGATCCGCAAAAGGTTTCCTTGCTTTGAAAAAATGAGATAATTGAATATTACTTCCTTGAAATGTGTCAGTTGATACAATTTGACTATGTTCAGGTTGTTTTTTCAAGGGATATGATCTGAGAATATTCTGACAAAATGAATGTTGAAAGTCTTATGTCCACTTGTTATCATATTATGTGGCTTGTTCATAAATAAGTTGATGATTGTCAACATGTCATGAAGTGCCATTGTGTTCTTCTGACCATGTCAGAAACAAAATCATTGTCTTTTTTTCTATGCTTACTTAAAATTAAAACTTATTTATCACGTAGTAGGAAAACACATTTTTAATTTTTTTTTAATGTATGCACACTTTAAATGTGTTTTGTGAAAGTAAAAGAGTTAAGAAATATTCTTGAAAAAAGTCGAGATATTTTTTTATATTTTCAGGCATAACTAATTTTAGTAGGTTTATGATCTTTGTATATATTTGCTACAACAATCACAAGAGACAACCCCCTGGGGAATCAGGTTTACAATACATCCCCAACAGCCTCTGCCCGTCATATTAGATGACCAAACACCTTGGGTGGTCAGACTCAGTGACTTGGTTGAAAGCATGTATCCCAACTACGTGCATAATATTGATCACTGGATTGCCTGGTCCAGACTTGAGTATTTATAGCCCGCTGTCATTCAGCTGGAACAGTGTTGAGTACAGCATTAAACAACAAACAAACGAACAAACAAACGATTAGCACTCAGTGGACCAAGCTATGGTTATCCAATTGGTAGACATTGTTGTTGGTCAGTGTGTAGCACATGGAAATATCATTCACATGCCATACTGACACCAAGCTGTTAGACATTCATGATCTGAGTACATGTTAAATAATTTCATGCAGGCTGAACAACAATTTTAAGAAATATAATTGCGTATGTTTTTGACATACTTTTCAAACATGTATAGAACAAGTTGAATAGAATATGGTATATTTTTGTTGTTTTAGTACATTTTTACAGAATAACTGTGGTATTTCTGACTATGAGGAAATGGTTCTATAGTTTATTTCTCAAGATGTCGTCACCTTTCCTAAAAGATTGAGATGTGAACCTCCAACATATGAGAGTGTGATTGAGTGTATCAGGTTATCTCCCTTGGGCTGTGAGTGTGGCCAGAAGGTTGTTGTGTGTTTATTTGGACGTGTTTATCATCAGATCTAGCGTTTGGAGGAGAGATAATATCTGTAAGACTATCAGCTGACAGTGTAAACTGAATGTCAGGTCGAGGGTAGGTGGGATCTCAGTGACGGTCACAAGTGATGCTGTGTCCATGCAACAGCTGTTGTTGCTGCTGATGGTGCTCAAGTGTAGTTGCTGCAGTCTCTGATGTACTCGTGGATGCAAATATTCTTCATCTCAATACTTAAAAGTCCCCCCCCACTACATCAGGTGCTGTGCTCTATATGTTCAACTATTGATGATGAAAAACACAAGCTACTTCACTGTACCAAACACACTCAAGAAAGAAATATACTCTTTGGAAAATTATCCACACAATATGTAAATGTCCACAATCCTAAAAACAAATCATTTCACTACATCCTCTCAAATAATGAAGCCATCAACATCAATTGCATTTGTTTCCATATCTATAATTTCAAGCAATAAACAGCCGTTGATCTTAATCAACCTATCACATTTTATGTATAATATCATCATATCTGTAATATATATGTCTGTCTGTCTGTCTGTCTGTCTGTCTGTCTGAATCATAATAATTTTGTCATTTGAAGGAATCACATGTTCCGTAATGGAATGCTTTCTGCAATAAATATTATCTTATCTCAAAGTTAAGCCATGGTCACAACTATTATTGTTAGTTCCTCTAACTCTGTTTGTGTCTGTTTTCTTGTGACACTGTAGATCTTGAAGTTAATGTGAGTGTGAATTAAATGCAAGTGGTCTTTTGCTGCTCGCATTGATTATACATTGCATTATATATTTATATATGCAGGGGGGGGGGGGGGGAGGGATCACATTCATTTGAAGATTCACAGTATTTAACTTTAAAATATGGCCATGATAAATTAAATATTAGATGTTGACATGAAACATTAATGGATAACAACTTCTTTATTATTTGTAACAATATTTCTTAGCTTCTATTTTGCCCCTTCATTCACATGGTGGGGCAGGAAATAGCTCTGAAACATTATGTCATTATTGTTACAAATAATAAAGAAGTTGTCATCCATAAATATTTCATGTTTAATTTCTTCCAACTTGAAATGGTTATCATTACCTCATTAAAAAATAAATATGAATATTTAGAAGGATATAGAGAATCTCACTCGAGTGTCTTTTGATATCAAATATATCAACACGAGTTGATAAAAGTGGAAAAATTCTGAGGCTTGCCGAGGATTTTTGCCACTTTTATCGAGTGTTGATATATTTGATATCAAAAGACACGAGGGTGAGATTTTATTTATCATCCAACATCATTCTTCAACTTTTTCAATTTGTAGACAGTAATTAGCAGTGACTTCAGTGTAAAAAGTACTGCTAACAGCTTCAGTAGCAGAGCCATTAGTGATGTCATTTGATTGTGATGTCATGGTAACCAGTGACGTCACAATTGTCTGCAAAGCATTGTGATGTAATTTCATTGTAGCTATATCTACAGTGTAGATATCGCTTGATCTAATCCAAGCGATATCTCCTGTGGGAGCCAGTTTTGGATGATAAAAATAGTAAGTATCTTTATGAATTTGGAATTTTCTCTAAAATTTGTCAGCATCTTAATTAGTCATTTATGCATTAGACTAATGTGCCCCCCTCCCTCCCCCTCGAATAAAATATAGACATTTATGAATGATGAATATTTGTTTGAGTACTTGACGAGACTCATTCATCTTTGACAATCTTGTGAAATCTTCCAAGAATCTCCCACATGGACGAGATCTTGCACCAAGTCTCTGTGAGGGGCTGTTATGTTTATGTACAACAAGTCAGATAGACCATTGTATATGCCTGCCTATCTTTCTTCCTCCACAAATAGTTCTGGCTGTTGTCTGTGACCAGAATATCACCGGATGGTTCCCTGGGTGTACCAGGAGTTTCAGGAATCAGTATCTATTCTTGGCCATATTTTGAAAAAACTGAATTTTTTTTTCCATCAACACTTTTAATTGGTAACTGTGAACTGTCATATTGTTGGTGAAAATATTTAATTGATATGGTATTGATGTATGTATAGAATAGCTGAAAACGAAAAGTATGTTAATAGACCAGTGGAAATTAGTCTTGAAATAGGGTTTAACGTTGCATTCACAGCGGAAGGTCTGGGGGTTCGATCCCCGGCCGCGTCATACCAAAAGACGTTAAAAGATGGTACTTGTTGCATTAAGGGGCCAAAATAAGGACTGGTAGGCTCGGAGTCAGTATACTTTGTCTGAGTGGGGTATTCATGTTAAACTGAACTGCGGCATGGTATCTCAGTAGGCTAGCACTATAAATCGGCATCAGTCCGGACTAGTACAAGCAGCCACACACACACGTACATGCACGTCGCTATATACCGGTAAGTGCAATAATCTTGGACGCGACGTTAAACCCAATTTCACCTCACCTCACCTCACCTCACCTTAATGCTGTGTGACAGAAAGGGTAACAACAAGTACCATCTTTTAATGTTTTTGGTATGACGCGGATGGGGATCAAACCCCTGTCCTTCCGCTCGCCGTCAGATGCTCTTCGTACTAGTCCAGGCGGTCAAAATTAAGCATTAAAAGTCAAGGGGTCCTTGTGATAATGATAATGCTAAAAGTTGAAATTTAGGGGGTTTGTAGAATCAAATACTATAGGAGCAAATCTCAAGGATCCCAGGATATTTCTTAATTTTGAACACTGCCAATGTTTTTATTGTCATTTGAATTTGAGCAATCCTTTTGTCTGTGCCAGAAACAAAAGTGAAAGTATAATTGTTTTCTCATGTTGCAAAATTGTCCTTTTTCTCTGCAGGAGTTCCTTCTGGGAGATTGCTCAAAGGCCCAGACGAAGCTAGGATGGACAAGGAAGTACACCTTTGATGTGAGTTAACTTGTCGCTGTTGAAGTTACGGGATTTTTTTATGTTTAGGTATCATGCAAACAGCTAGTCTCACAGCGGCGATGACAGGGATTGTTCTGTGAGGTCATTATTGTGTTTTGTTAGTTTGTTGCATGGGGTAAAAAATTGGAAACTGTTATTGGAATAACAAAGATTCTTTGGGAGTTTTAACTAAATAAAACAGAATGGTTCAAACATTGTCAAGTTTTTCTTACTTTTCAAAGCTGTTCAGTTTCATGCTGATGAATGTCAGTAGGCATCACCACCCAAATGATGGTTCTTTGTTCAGAAAAAATAATTTTTTTCTTTTTAATTGTCTTACACGTGCCCTGCCAGAGGACTCTCAGTGCATGAATCAATGAATCATCCCCTTTCGGGAAAAAAACACACAACAAAACTATCTCTCCCACACACATACAAACACACACACCACACCACACCACACCACACCACACCACACCACACCACACCACACCACACCACACCACACCACACCACACACCACACCACCACACCACACCACACCACACCACACCACACCACACCACACCACACACCACCACACCATACCACACCACACCACACCACACCACACCACACCACACCACACCACACCACACCACACGAAAAAAACAAGAATATTCCCCAGTACCCATACTTCCTAAACATCGCGACTTAATGGGGTTCTGTGTCCACAATGGCTGCACAATATGGATAGCATTCAGATGGTGATCATTACAGAATATTATAGGACAGCTATATAAGTTCTTTTTATTTAAAGGTTTTTCAACAGATCTAGTCTACAAAAAAAATAAATGTGTCAGCAAGTATCTGTTTATGTGCTAAGTTTACGAGTTGTTTAGTCCGCTAAGTTTACGAGTTGTTTAGTCCGCTAAGTTTACGAGTTGTTTAGTCCGCTAAGTTTACGAGTTGTTTAGTCCATACAGTAAACTACGGTTATAAGAAACTCAAATGGACCACTAATTTTAGTTAGTTATAACCGTAGTTATATAAGCATACATACATCATCTATACAGCAAATGTCCGGGACCAAAAATTAAGTTCGTAATATCCATCAGTTCATTATAAGCGTGTTCATTATGAATATATTTTACTGTATATGGTTGTAATAGTACTGTTATGAGAGCTTCATCAATAATGATTTATTATTTTCATTTTCAACCATGTTTAAGTTCATTGTTGTGTTTTACAGGCCCTTGTCAAAGAGATGGTGGAGGCTGACATCAAGCTGATGCAGGCCAACCCAATCGCATAGACATATGGTAAGTCTAGGTATATGTCACAGACTTCTTGTAAGTCAGGGTAGATCTTACAGACTTGTGGTGAAGTGTAGGTAAATCATACAGTCATTGTAGTAAATCAAAGTCGCTCTCACAGATGTCTGAAGTAGACTTAAGTTTTATAGATGTCACAGACATCAGTGTTGCCTTACTTCCTCAGTTGACCTTCCAGTTGACCTTCCAGACCAGCAGTTGACCTTCTGGACAAGCAGTTGACCACATTCTGTAGAAGGGTCCATCAGACCCATGAAGATTCGGGGTAGAATAGGTCTTCAGCAACCCATGCTTGCCGTAACAGGCGACTATGCTTATTGTAAGAGGCGACTAAGGGAATCGGGTGGTCAGGCTCACTGACTTTGTTGATGCACGTCATCGTATCCCAATTGCGTGGATCAATGCTCATGATGTCATTCACTGGATTATCTGGTCAAGACTTGATTGTTCACAGACCGCCACCATATACCTGGAATATTGCTGAGTGCAGCGTTAAACAACAAGCAAACAAACAAACAAACAAACAAACGAGAAAGGTCCTTCTGACACAGTCAATACATCAACAATACATCACAGTCAATACATAGAAACATATAGAGCAGTATGTTCGTTAAGTGTTTCCAATGTGTACCAATTTATGGCAAAATTAACAATCAATCAATTGTTACCACAGAAGGTCTTTATTCTTATGATGCTGCATGTGATTTCCAAACTTTACACGCTAATCCTGCTCGAGAAAAATGGTGCATATCGAGTCATGGATCTATGACGTCACGTGATGCTTTCAACAGCATCGGTTCACACAACATAACAGTATGTTCGTTTGTGCTTCGAACCAATCTACCCTGTAATATCTCTGTAATATCCTGTAATATATATGAGTAAATCTTTATATATAAAACAACATGTATGGTATTCACGTTTCTTTTGGCGGTGAGTATATATATCTGAGAATCAGCAGCAATATGTTAAGATGCAGCATGTTTATGTTTCAGAAGATGGTGACAGAATCTGGAGTGGGGACACTGGGGAATTGTGTTCCTCTCAGGACCAGGAACTGAATGGAACAGGAACAGGAACATATACAGAACTGTTTTGTAAATATGGGATATACAAGCATGTGTTGGTCACCTTCTTAAGACAAGGTTCCTGTCAACGATTACTTCATGTGCAGTGTTTTGGGGTTGGATGAAGAAAAGCATTTAATGATGAGGACATTGTCCTGTGGTTATGAGATCCGTTCTTGTTCATGACTGGGTGTCTACTCAGCTGATGTTACGGTGGATAGTAGCAGGGGAACCTTGTCTTATGTATCAGATGGGAAGTAGTTTAGATTGGTAATGCCAAAAACTTATATGTCCACACACAGGAGGAGGAGGAACCTATACTACAGTACTTCAAAGGGCAGTGCTGTGGATTGGTATTTGGTATTTCTGAAAGTCAAGCTTTCAGGAGGAAGTCAAACTTTCAGGCAGACGTCATGCTTTGAGAAGGAAGTCATGCTTTGAGAAGGATGTCATGCTTTGAGAAGGAAGTCATGCTTTGAGAAGTATGTCATGCTTTGAGTAGGAAGTCATTCTTTGAGAAGGATGTCATGCTTTGAGAAGGAAGTCATGCTTTGAGAAGGATGTCATGCTTTGAGAAGAAAGTCATTCTTTCCGAAGGAAGTCATGCTTTCAGAAGGAAGTCATGTTCTCTGAAGGTAGTCATGCTTTCAGAAGGAAGTCATGTCTGAAGGAAATCATGTTGTCTGAAGTCAGTCTCTCTGAAGGAAGTCATGCTTTGAGAAGGAAGTCATGCATTGAGAAGGAAGTCATGCTTTCAGAAGGAAGTCAGTCTCTCTGAAAGAAGTCATGCTTTCAGAAGGAAGTCAGTCTCTCTGAAGGAAGTCAAACTTTCAGACAGAAGTCATGCTTTCAGAAGGAAGTCATGTTCTCTGAAGGAAGTCATGCTTTCAGAAGGAAGTCAGTCTCTGGTAGAAGTCTCCCTGAAGGAAGTCACTCTCTGTGTGAAGGAAGTCAGTCTCTCTCTGAAGTGAAGTTACTGAAGGAAGCCAGACACCCCAACTGAAGACTGTGAATCACACCAGGCTCTCTGTGACATGCACCATCTTCTGTACAGACCTCCTGATGTGAGGCTGCGGCTTATGCTGCTGCGGCTAGTGGGGCGGCATGCTGCTGTACACCAGCTCCCAGGAAGCTTGTTACTCCAGACCATGTGGCTTGACGTTCTAGGGAATACCCATCTTGTGTGGATTAACAAGGTTCACTGTATGGAGCTTTTGGGGGTTATTTTGTAGACCAAGTATAGTGTTGTTCGGTTTCTTTGTTCTTTGTCAAACAGAAATCGAAATTGTTAAGTTTTCTATATTTTATGCAAATTATTTACGAGGAGTTCTTTAAATCACATCCTGTATTTCAAGGTTGAATCTCTGATGTCTGCAGCATGGTGCCTCTGAGATGATAAATCTGTGTGTTGATTGTAAGTTTATTCAGTCACAATTGCTCCTGCCATGCCTACTGTAATATAATCAGTTGAAAGTTCACTTGATTTCCTACAGTGTCAGTGTCATATATACGTGATATGATACAGTAAAATATTTCAGTGGCAATATCACATGATGTCCTACTGTAATATATTTCAGTGGCACTATCACATGATGTCCTACAGTAATATATTTAAGTGGCAATATTACATGATGTCCTACAGTTATATGTTTTAGTTGTAAGTTAGCTTCATGTCCTACAGTAATATATTTAATTTCAGTACAGTAGTGTGCCTCTGCTTCAAAGTTAATGAGCTAATCTATGTCATAGAAATCTAATTTATAACTTGACCCATATTTATGTTGAATTAAATAATTTAGATAATTTGCAACACATGTTTTGTGTGACATATCGGTTATTTTTGCTCCCTTTTTATTTTCAGTTGTATCTCTAATTACAGAATCTTGTTTTGATATATGACATTGAATGTTAAATAAGTTCAGAAATATTAATAAAGATGCAAAATGGCAAGTCATATATATCAGTGTTTGAAGGGCATTCATTCATCAATCTTCCAGACTGCAAGTTTGTATACTATCAATGAAGTACCATAACGAATGTCAGAAATGTTCTGTGACAAGCTTCTATTTGCCTCGCATCTATTAATATTTGTTGACAATCGACTCAAACACTAAACTCCAAACAACCAAAGTTTTTTGTACAAGTTTGATAATATGTGTACTTAAAAATAACATGAGATGTCACTTTACACAAACTCCTTTTTAAAGGAGGTGGTGCACATGTAAACTATGTAACTATGTAGGCCAGGCTGTCAGTATGCAACTTGACTCTAAGACTGAATCTCATTCTTCAGTGCATTACGTTTTTGTATATTTTTGTAATTTGGGCAGGAAATTGTGAATTGTGACCATGTTCACCTGTATGTTAGATACACTGCTATTGTTGTGCATTGTGAAAACTGCAGAACAGCAAGAATCTACTCAATGTTCCATCCAATATGGGCCAAGAACAATCCTGAAACAAGCTTGAAGATAGTTTGCAATTAGATCACAGAGACTTTATGAACGTTTTTTGATGTCTCTCTCCATAATTCTTGTAATTGTCAAATATAAAGCCTTGATCTTTATTTCAAAATAATCCTACATATAATCCTTTACCCCTAAACGTGACTACAGTAATTCAAATCAGTCTGGCCTGTGTTCCATGACAGCTGTATTTAAGTTGTACATTTACCATGTACTTAGGATGCATCTGAGAAGCCTTCAGATCGTATGTCAGATCCTTGACTGGGATAGCAGACAAGTTGTATACCTGAAGTCCAGCACATTCCATACCCTTGTTTTGTCCAGGTGTATGTCGTATGTAACTCTGTCAAGTGTGTTTGATGTGATGAAGCAGGATATAACAATGTCTCTCAGAATACAAGCTAACACGACTCGGCCAGTCAACTCTTCTTGGGCAGGGTTGTCCATTATCTGCAATTCGCTGTGTAGAGTTGCATCCCTTTGGTGTGCCAGGAATGTATGATCGTGGTTCAAATTCTAGATTTGTCCTGATTATGTTTAGTTTTGTCAGCATTATACATTTAATGGAGTAAATTTGTTAAGACCTGCATCACTCTGGGCTTTACTGCCACATATAGCAGACATGTTGTGATGTCAAGCCTTTAACACAACTCACAGATGACACAACTCTTGAGGAACCTCCAAAAGCAACCTTAATTCCAAAATTTACCATTCACACAAATAACAGTTTTGGAGAGTAATAATGGATTTGTGAAAGGTTTATGAATTGGTATTTTTCAAAAATTCAGATGCTGCACCTGAACTTTCTAATTAATTGGGCAGCATAATATTTTTACATGGCGATTCTAGAACCACATTTTATGCAAACAATGCGTGAATTTGAAATGTGTGCTACATATCAATGTATGGTTAAAAGTGTATAGTACACTACTGAACAGTATTATTTGAACAAGTGTATGCCGATATTTCTGACATGGAAAATCAAATCCTTTGCATCAGATTGATCTCCAAACCTGTTTGACAATCTCTTTCAGATTATTCTCACATAATCTGTTGTGTACATTACGTTTGATTGTAGGATAAGAGTCTAGAAAGTCAGGCTTTTATTTTTTGAAATAAACCATTCAAGATATCTTTCAGAAGAAGTTAGGTATTAGGTATTGTGTCTGTAGTCTCAGTGTATGACATCAATACATTAATAATAACCCTATAACATTAATATCTCAAAAATGCTTTGAGATCAAACAAATATTTGTAATATGAAAGTCATCCAAACTTGAAATCCAAGAGATTTTATCTGCTCAATGTTTTATTTGAATATTAAATAACTTATTGAGCATTTTCATTGATTTACTGTGTAGAACCAAAAGTTCTCTACTTTCTGTGCATAATATTAAAGGACTTTTCCATGGTGGGATTTTGCAGTAATAAAATGGGTTAAAATTGAGATGTGTTTAGTTGTCATTAAACCTGAAGAAACGCTTGCCAGAAATACATGGCCAGATAGAAGTGAGTTCTTGTGCATGACATGAGTGGCCTAGTCGTCTGAGGTGCCGCAATTCGCTGTACAGAGTTGCGTCCCTTGGGCATGCCAGATTCACACTGTTTGTTTCTGGGTTTGTCAGCACCATACCTGGGTTTCACATCTTAGACCTGCTTCACTTTGAGCTTTCCTTCCACATTAAGCTCACACACGGTGATACAACTGGAATACTGTTCAAAGTGGCATTAAACCCAACTCACTCACTCAGTCTTGTGGGATAGAGTGAAATCCTTTAATCGGAACATCACTGTTCGCCCTTGAATCCTCTGTACTCATGAAATGAAACAATGATACAATGACTTTCTCATATACAAGTATGTACCTGGAACAAAGTGGAACACCACCCCTTCTGTATTTTCCTAACATATCTTTTGGAATTATCTACATGGGGTATTCATCTCATTCAGATAAATAACAAATAAGTTTGTGTTCGCTTGTTTGTTGTTTTACGCCGCACTCAGCAATATTCGAGCTATATGACGGCGGTCTGTAAATAATCGAGTCTGGACCAGACAATCAAGTGATTGACATCATGACCATCGAATCACGCAATTGGAATACGATGACATGCATCAACCAAATCAGCGAGCCGAACCATCCGATCCAGTTAGTCGCTTCTTACGACAAGCAAAGATGCCTTTTACTGCAAGAATAGGTCTTGGGTCAAAAGTTGGTGAAAGAACACTGTTTCTCCGTATGGACATATCATGTTACTCAAAAAGCAGATGAAGCAGATGTTAAATAACTCGCGCCGAGGAGCAGTCACAAAATATGTCTAGCGTTGAAGATCCCGGTTAGAATTGGCCTTCACCAACCAATGCTTTTCGTAAGATTATACTAATGTGATCGGGTGGTCAGGCTCGCTGACTTGGTTGATGTATGTCATCGTATCCCATATGCGTAGTTCGATGCTCATGATGTCAATCACCAGATTGTCTGGTCTAGACTTTTATTATCAGGCTAGATTATTTACAGACCGCCGTCATATAGCTGGAATATCGCTGAGCGCGGTGTTAAACAACAAACAAACAAATCATATCGTCTCTTTAAGACTAGGTTTTATTGTTTGTTGTGAAACGCCACATTATGCAATAATCCAGCTAAGGCCTGTAATTAATCTGGACCAGACAATCCGGTGATTGACATCATCAGCATCGTTCCACCCACATGGATTGCAATGACAACCATTCAATCAAGTCAACGAGCTTGACCACATTATTAATTCAGTCTCTTCTTATACAAGCACGTGTTGCTGGGATCTCTATCCTTACCATGAGTCCTCAAGGTCGAACCTCAAGAATACATAAAAAATCGAGGATTATATTTTATAGTTTTTTTAAATTTGAAGATTACACGAAATACGGCTTTTCGACTGGAAGGAACGCCGGTCACATGACCACGAAACCCTGCCCAAGAAGAGTTGACTGGCCGAGTCGTGTTAGCTTGTATTCTGAGAGACATTTTTATATCCTGCATCGTCACATCAAACACACTTGACAGAGTTACATACGACATACACCTGGACAAAACAAGGGTATTGAATGTGCTGGACTTCATGTATACAACTTGTCTGCTATCCCAGTCAAGGATCTGACATACGATCTGAAGGCTTCTCAGATGCATCCTAAGTACATGGTAAATGTACAACTTCAATACAGCTGTCATGGAACACAGGCCAGACTGATTTGAATTATTGTAGTCACGGTTAGGGGTAAAGGATTATATGTAGGATTATTTTGAAATAAAAATCAAGGCTTTATATTTGACAATTACAAGAGGATGGAGACAGACATAAAAAAATCGTTCATAAAGTCTCTGTGATCTCCAAACAAATTTGCAATAACAGCAGTCATCATGGAATTTGCAAACTATCTTCAAGCTTGTTTCAGGATTGTTCTTGGCCCATATTGGATGGAACATTGAGTAGATTCTTGCTATTCTGCAGTTTTTGCAATGCACACCAATAGCAGTGCATCTAACATACAGGTGAACATGGTCACAATTCACAATTTCTTGGCTAAATTTACAAAAATATACAAAAACGTAATGCACTGAAGAATGTGATTCAGTATTAGAGTCAAGTTGCATACTGACAGCCTGGCCTACATAGTTATTTACATCTGTACCACCAATTGACGTTCATACGTTTTTCAGACTGTATTTTTGAAATGACGTGAACACTAACGGATAACTTCCACAGATCTCGCGCATCTCATTGTTACACAAAACCTTTAAAACCTCAATCTAAAGGAACATAAGACACCTGTGTAGGACCTTCAAACTCGTATGCATTAACAAATACACCATGTTTAATTTTTCAGGTTTGTAGTATCAATAGTGTCAAGTCTAGATCTAGTTCATGGACTGAACATACACTGCATCTGTAGTTGCATTCCTACTTCACAGAATTAAGTCCTCATAATAATGTATACGTACATGCCCAATTTTCGTAAAATCTCACATTTTACTATCTACTCCAACTTTCGTTCTTGTCAAAAGCCTTTCTGAATTTTAAAAAAAGATTTCTTGAAGAATAAATATATTAAATGTATTATCAAGATTTTATTTTTATGAGTGAGTTGTTTTACGCGCTTTTAGCAATATTCCAACAATATCACGGCGGGGGACACATTGAAATAAACTTCACACATTCTATCCATGTGGGGAAACACATACAAAAGCAAGTCTAGCCAGATCTTGCTTGCTCTATTCTATTCTATATGAAATCAGCATAGGGAATTTGTTTTTAGAGTTCAACTATAGGTATCTTTATACATTTATTATGCTTTTGTGTTACGTCAGTTGTCTTGATACTCCGTATACTACAATATTTGTTAATATAGCTGTATGTCCATGTAACTCACTTATATATGGGCCAATGAATGGCCTTTCATACAATAAACCATTCAATTGAATTGAATTGAATTGAATCGATGCTCACATTGTGGGTCACTGGTTTGTCTGACCCAGGCTCGATCTTGCATAGCCAAGCCCCTCATATACAGGATATTGATTTACACTATTAACACATATTCACCGACTCTAATGTATGTTGGAGATTTTGCGAGCGCTTCCAGCAGTGCTGATTGCACACTCCGGCTAACTCTCAAGGTTAAAGGTTACAAATGTTTCAAAAATACATTCTAATTCACGTGTCATATCCATCTAAGGCGCCGCAATTCGTTGTGCAGAATTACGTTCGTACGGCGTGTCACAGATCCTTGATGATGTTACTTGATTTGTCAGAGCCATATCAGTGTTCGTGGTACTCCATACAGACAGACAACGTTCAATGTTTGAAATACTGAGTGTCCCTAGTTGTAGAACGGTTCGAATAATGCTAAAAGCGGCGTCTGGCTTAACTTGCACGTGTTCTTTATTCAGTATTTGAGTTGGCAGCCCATGGTGGAATTAACGATCCACAGAAGACAGTTTGGCCAAAAGGCGATTCACTGGGTAATACAAAAACATGGCTGCACTTCAAATTAACGATTTGTATCGGGTTGACATTAGAATATTTAACCTAGACAATGTGGAATGGACATGAAACTTATCTGGAATAATCTGTCCATCGGTGGTTTAAGTATTTTAAAGAAACTCACTCATCCTTTTGTTTGAAAGGCTGCGTTCCGTTTTTTCCAACATTTCATCGTTCTATTCTTCAGACAGTTATTGTTAGCTGAAACTGAATAGCCTTCTTGTACTTTAATAATACACACAAAAAATCTTACTAAACAAGATAATTGGTAGGGGCGAAGTATGTCTATAAAAAGGGCGGACTGGTATGATGCTATTAGTTTTAATGAGGCAATAAATCACCAATATTTGTAAATAAAGGCTGAATTTGATCGTTATCAATTTTATCACAAACAGGTATTTCATTCCAAAGGAAAAACAATTCAAGCACTATTTAACCGATGTTCACCTCACAATGGCTCTATTTATGCCTGGGGGACTTAAACGTCAATTTGCATGATCTTTGTATGTCTTTTCGTCTATTTTGTATGTCTTTTTAAGCAAAAAAATCACCGAGTTCTTTAACATTGGCCATTATAAATAAGTACAACTGGTCCTCGGTGAATAGGACCAGTTGTTAATGTTTGGGTTTAGCTCTGACGGGACGGTAAACACGTCATATCATGATATGTATGTTCAGCAACTAAAAACCCTCCTCGCCAACCTAACGTTAAAGATCGCGTTTATTTAACATTTGTCTGTCTCGGGCTAATTGGCTTCGGCTTACCGAGGGGCGACTTTGTGGCATGCCTTGCCATGCTGAAGACTCTGGGTGATGGAACCGTCATGGAACCGTCATGAAACATGCAGTGTACAGGCAGATCTGGAAAGGGTCTCCCTTTCTTTTTTTCAATATCCATTTGTTAATGAATTTTCCATCTCCTTCGTAAAATTTAGATACCCAAAATCTTTTTGAAATTGCTGGATCTGCAGAAATTTAACTTCTATATCAATGTATGGAAATGCTTAAAACTAGAATTACAACTACGGGTTACAAACATTGGACGTAAATTAAATATACAAGACGTCATATTTCAGTGTATGTAGCAGTCACGACTTGCCAAGACATTAATATGCATTAAAGATATTTAATTATGATGTTAATATATGAATGCAATCGACCCCCCACCCTCCCCCACTAAACAAATCCACACCGTCCCATCTAACCACGCAAACACAATCTGGAATTTGGAACAGTGAGACGATGGCGCTACCAACAGACAATGCCACCTTTGTGTCCACTCCGATGGAACACGAGTTGTGTTACTGTTGAATGTGACGACCACGCTCCACGCGTTGCTCTCGCATTTCCATCAATACCAGGTATCCACCGACTTCACCCGGTATTTAACCTGCTTCATGGACAGCTAGAGACCACTTTGCAGTGG